AAAGTTCTAAGAGAAGTCGCCAGGGAGCAAACTGCAGATGCTATGTGGGTAAAACTTGAATCATTGTATATGACAAAGTCTTTAGCTCACAGGTTGTATCTGAATCAACAAATATATTTATTCCGAATGATGGAGAACAAATCCATAGTTGAGCAGCTCATAGAATTTTACAAGATTATCGATGATCTTGAGAATATTGAAGTGAAGATTGATGATGAGGACAAGGCTTTGCTCCTATTAAGTTCATTACCCAGATCTTTTAAGCACTTTAAGGATGTTATTCTTTATGGTAATGAAGGTATTATTACTTTGGATGAAGTCCAGACGGCGGTGAAATCCAAAGAATTTTCAAAGTCGAAAGATTTGAAGATTGAAGATAATGGTGTAGGTGTAAATGTGTCAAGAGGAGGAGGTGGGCGTAAAGGGATGTCCAAATTAAAAAGGTCTGAAAAGTCAAAGGTAAAATATTTTAATTGTCAGAAAATTCAGTCACTTTAAAAGGGATTGGCCTGAAAGAAAGGTCAATGAAGATTTTGTTCAAGTTGTAGTTGCATTGGGTGAGGAAAGTTATGAGGATGCCGAAGCACTAGTAGTATCGAGTTTAGAAACTAAAGATAGTTGGGTCATTGACTTAGGTTGCTCTTATCACATGTGTCCAAGAATATAATACTTTGAAACTTTGAAGATGGATCAAGATGGAATAGTTCGCCTTGGTAATAATAAGGCATGCAAGGTTCATAGTATTGGTATGGTCAAATTTAAAATGTTTAATGATCGCGAACTTCTTATTCACAATGTGAGGTATGTTCCAGAACTCAAGCGAAATTTGTTATCTATAAGTATGTTTGATGATCTAGGCTATTGTATTAGAGTTGAACGTGGAGTGTTGAAGATTTCGCGTGATGAATTGATTATTGCTAAATTGTCTAAAATATGTGGTCTATATATTTTAGAAGGTTCAGATGTTATTATTTATTCATCGTTAAATAGTGGAGGCTTTCATAACAAGGAAGAGCTATGGGATTTCAGTTTAATACATTATGAATGCCTTGAGAAAGTTTTAGAGGAGTACAATGGATTTTGCAGAAATCAATAAAAATGCATGTTACTGCTAAGTTGTTATTGAGTTTTTGGGGAAGAGCTGAGGTTAAAATAACTTACTTGGTTGGTAGAGAATTTCTTCAGAAGAAGAATAATGAAAACCAAGCGAGAAACTTGGGAGAAACTATAATGGAGAAAACTTAGTTTGAGGTGGAGTTTCCTACTATGGATGCTAGCAGTAGTGAGGGAACGGTTACAGGGATCTCTGATTATCATTTGACTCATGATAAGGTAAGGAGGGTTACTGTAGCATCTCAAAGGGACGATTATGCTAGCCTTGGATATTATGTTTTTAATGTGGCTGAAGGACTGCAAAATAAAAGAAGAAAAACCTTCAAGGAGGTATTTAAAAACTGGTGGAGTCAAGGGTGGTTGAAAAATCATACTTGTAGGCTTGTTAAATTATCTAGGCAGAAAAGGATAATTGAGAACAAGTGGATGCAATTTACGAGATCAAGATTCAAATGTTGCTTGAAGTTGATCAAATTTATTGATTATAGCTTCAACTTGGTAGAGAGCAGCAATATTGTTGATTATTAAATTGGTATCAACACGGTTTAAAGTCAAGGTTTGTTGATGAAGAGAAAGAAAACATATATTGGAGATTGCATTTACCGTGAAAACTGGACGAAAAGTCGAGGAAAAAAATCGGTTGATGAAGAGTGCTATATGTACGGATGAATAGTGACGGTCGTACGATGAATAATGTTTTTGAGTTTTCGGGCTTTTTTCGATTCGGTCCATGGATCCATTTGATTTTGGGCTTTGTTTGTTGAGTATTTGCTATTATAAATATGTATCTCTTATATGTTTGATGTGTGACAATCTTAGAGTTTACACCAACAAGGGAGAGCAAGAGTTTAAAGGTACAACATATGGTTTCAACTATGCACAAAGAAAACCTTGGATTACCCCTGCATATATTGTGAGTTGGAGAGGTAGGGAAACACTTGGGTAGAAAATAGAGATGTTCTTGGGCACCTTCAGGGTTGCTCTTGGGAACCTGAAGGCGAAAGTTATTTTTTTGTAATTCATCTGTAATCTCTTGTAATAACTTTATGAGTATAGTGAATTGGAGAGTTGCTCTCTCCTCCAAAGTAGAACGTTTGATCGAACTGGGTAAACAAACCTTTGGTTTTTTCTTGTCTTATTCTGTTATATTATCTGCGTACGAATTATTATTGCTAAAAACAATTTATTTTGGTTTCTATTATTCTTTACCTCACAAATTGATATTGAATTTTATTGTAATTCACAACAAGATTTACAAATAAATATATATATATATATATATATATATATATATATATATATATATATATATATATATATATATATATATATATATATATATATATATATATATATATATATATATATATATATATATATATATATATATATATATATATATATATATGTCTAATCCTCTACAATAATCTCAATAATAATATTTTATTTATCTGTTGTCAAATCTGACAACCTCATTAATTAGTAAATTAACAAAATACTCATACACCTAAAAAAAACAACAAAATTTTAAAATAATGAAAAAATCAGACAAAAATTTAAATAAAATATTCAATTAAAAAGTTGGGGGTGTTAGATCTATGAACGGACAACATAATATTTATAAGAGAGGGAGATCCATATAACTAACTCTTTAAAATTTTAGATTAGATGGAGATGTCATGTCTCTCATTATTGTGATTTTAAAGCATTCTTCTCGTTGGTACTCCCGTCTCCTTCAAATTCTTCAACAAGTAGTAATAGAGTATAGTTCGACTCAGTGGTAAAATGGGAGTTAGATTCTACTATAATAAATAATTATTATTTTTAAAAGATTTATGCTAAAACTAATATTTTTATGTAAATACTAGTTAAAAAGAGTTACATTTTTTTAACAGAATAAAAGATATGCACATAGAGCAGAAATTAATTTTAAATTCACATTATATAATTATTTGAAGGAATTTTCAAAATATAATCGTAAAATTGACATGATTTTTTCTTAAATGTTTTATGTAGTATTTTAAAAACTGGTTCACCCGTCTGGTTCAACCGATTGGACTGAGAATTGGAGTTGAATCCGGTTGAATCAATATTTCAAAACTGCTAGTGGGTCAAAACCAAAGTTAAACTGAAAAAACTGAATTGAACCATCCAAAACCATTTGATCCAAAGAACCAGAGTCGATTTTGTAAAACTGTCTGATTAAAAAAAAATTCATCAAAGTGACTATTTTTTAAAATTTAATATGTTAATATCAAAACTTAACATAAATTCCCAGTCAAAAAAAAAAAGAATTCTGTGTGTTTTTTACAACCATATAAACTTTTAAGTTTTGTCACTCCATTATAGTTTTTCTTTCAACCACACTCCATCATCATTCTGGTGTCTCTTTCAAACATAGTCACGATATCCAACTCTATTGATTTTCATTCAAATTAATATTGTTTGTTGTTTTCAATTAAGACTTGTTTATCGTAGTTCAACTTAAATTTGATTTTTTGTTGTTTAATGGAGTATATTATATTATTTTTATTTTGGTATTCTATCTTATTTTATTTATTATATTCTATTATTTTCTTTTTAGTTTGAATTAGTTTAATTTATTTTATTGTAATTTTTTAATTTGGTCAAATATTCTAAATATAGTTGAAATGAAGTGTAAAATTATGTTGTGTTATGTATTATTGATATTGTTATATTAAATTTGTAATAGATTTTAGAAATATTTATTTATTAAGTTGAAAACATATAATAATATGTAATATATATATATATATATATATATATATATATATATATATATATATATATATATATATATATATATATATATATATATATATATATATATATATATATATATATATATATATATATATATATATATATATATATATATATATATATATATAAAATTTAGTTTCATATTATTAATTTATTTAAAAAATGATTCGACATGTTTAACTAATTTAATTAATTAAATTTTAAACCGTAAATTTTACGGATTGGATCTCTAATTTAATTTTTTAAATATTGATTTTATATAATACTTTGAAGATCTTTTATCCTTAAAATAAATGGATTGGATAATTATATTAATTTTGATCAACTTTCGCAACTGCCTGCAATATTTTAAGATTGTTGACATGATGAGTTGCATTAAAATCACATCATACAATTTTTCTTCCGTTGTTTTAGTTATATTATTAAAAGAAATTATAATTTTCGAACTTTGTAATCAATTTTTATTTATGGAATAAAATATATTTATGTTAAGAGATGGGATCCTCTCTATTTCTTTTTCCATCAATATCAACCTTGCATTTCAAAATATTTTCAATCAAAATCCATCATAACCACGCTATTTGCATCGCATTAATTACAACTATCACAATCACCCATAGTATAACTGCATCTCCTACTAGAATCGCAACACCTTAGGTAAAATCCCATCTGAGACCACAGCCACAATTTAAAATCATGATCCTAACCAAAAACAATTCCTTGTATAACTCACAGCCATCCATCTAATTTGGTTACATACATTTAAGCTCTCACTTTTTCCAACTTATCAATCTTGATTGATGCCACACCATAATCTCCTTGTCAGATAATTGACAGCATTGGATCTTGGTACCATTCTGGCACCTAACTCCTGTATTCAATCACCACTCCCTAACTTCTTTGATGCAACACCATATTTTATAAGTTTACAAATCACAATTAAGGGTTTAGTACAAAACCTTTTTACCTACATATCATTCTCTCCAACCCTTTATAAAAGCTTACTTCTTAGTATCATCAATACATCAAGTGCTCATTGCAAATACAATTGTAACCATATACACAATTTCAACATCACCTAAATTTTCTTTTAGCAAACCAAAATGGTTAGAGTTCATTCTCTATTATCTTTGTCATTGGCAATCCTAGTTTCTCTCCTGTATTCCACAACCACTACTTTATCTCAATTATCACCTGCTAATGCTCCTATACAACCTACACTTCCAGCTCCAACCCAACCAGCTGCAGCCCCTAAACCATTGGTACCTTCCTTACCAGACTCACCTAGTGACTCCACACCTGACACTGCAGGCGTCGTTGACATTGTCGGAATCCTAAGAAAGGCTAAATCATTCAATGTCTTAATCCGACTCATGAAAACAACTCAATTGATCAACCAACTCAATTCACAACTATTGACTATAAAAACAGGCGGATTAACTATTCTTGCACCGGATGACAGTGCGTTCTCAGAACTCAAAGCAGGATTCCTCAACTCTCTTTCCGGTGGACAGAAACTCGAGCTCTTACAGTTCCACGTTATTTCCGACTATGTTTCAAGCTCTAATTTTGATATTTTAACCAACCCTGTGAGAACGCTTGCGGGAGCTAAACCAGGAAAGGTGGAACTGAATGTTGTGAGTTACGGTGGGAGTGTGAACATATCAACAGGGGAAGTGAACACTACAATCAATGGCATTATATATACTGATAAGCATCTTGCTATTTATAAGGTTGGCAAAGTGCTTCTCCCAATGGAGTTCTTTTCCGTTGCTAAGGCACCTGCAAAAGGACCATCTTTGGCACCAGAACCTTCAACTGATACAGCAATGTCGCCTAAACCTGATAAAGATATATCCTCAGACTCGTCGCAGGTAGTTAATCCGAAAGAACAGAACTCTGGCTCTGTGAAGATTGTGTTTGGAAAGTGCGTGTCTTTTGGGTTTATAATAACTATGGTAGCAATGATGCAAACTTGATGCTGAGATGTGTGGATTGATTCTTCTGAGCATGTACTTTCTGTTACAATATTTTTCTGTTTTGTCTTATTTTTGAATTTGTAGTTTGGATGTATACTTTGAGAATGAGAGGAGAGAGCTCTGTGTTTACATGATTATATGGTGTAATGACGCTATCTAATGCTATTTATCCGCGTTTTTAATTAGTTTTTAAATTTTGGCATCTTTAACGGTGCGATATCCGCGTCTTGCAGCTAAGTAAACAAATCCTCCGCTGCTGTTTCTGTTCTGCCAACGAAATCCTTGCAGCTAATGGTCTTTGTGGTCTAATGACTTTTCGTGTGTGATATATTTTTACCTAAATTCTCAAGGATCCATGAGTTTTAGTTGGATACAGAAACTTTTAATACAAGTTGGTTTTATTTTTTTATTCAGTGAATATCCTCCTATATAAATTTAATTAAAATACATTGATAATATAAAAGAAATTTACACTATCAATTAATTATAATCGTTGGAAATTAAAATAAATTTATCTTTTATTTTAATCATCAATAAAGTAATATTAATGAATGATGGTGATAAACAGTGTAAAACTTTTTATACAGATAATATATATATATATATATATATATATATATATATATATATATATATATATATATATATATATATATATATATATATATATATATATATATATATATATATATATATATATATATATATATATATATATATATATATATATATATATATATATATATATATATATATATATATATATATATATATATATATATATATATATATATATATATATATATATATATATATATATATATATATATATATATATATATATATATATATTTTTTGGGGGGGCAAGACAAAGCGTCTAATAGATTGAAAACTCAGTGCATGGAAGAAACAAAGCATGATAAAAATAGATAGGTGTAATCTCAAGCATCCTCGCCATTTAAAAATACACTTTTTATTGGGCGTCCACACTTTAAGTTCATTTTGATATTTTAATTTCTAACAGACTTTCTTATTTAAAAGGAGTTAGCGTCTCATTTTCATGTAAGGTTTTCACTTTTCACTTCTAGTAAAGTTTTTAAAATCTATAATAAAAGAATTGCGACAAAAGAAGAATCAATTCATGTTTTCTTTGATGAATCTGACCATAAAATTGATGAAATAGAAGTCATTGATTGTGCATCTATTTTTGGAAAAGACATTCCAAAGGATAATTAAAAACCAGGCCAAGAGAAAAATAAAAATCAAGTCATAGAAGAAGAACCGATTCCAAATCAAATCACATACACTCCTCCACAACATTCAGATCTCTCGAGGGAATGGATACAAACAAATAACCATCTCATCCAGATTGTCATTAGAGATATCTCTGTAGGAGTCACTACTCGACGGTCCCTCAATAAGGTATGTAACTTTGTGACTTTTGTTTCACAAATTAAACCAACGAGAATTGAAGAAACTATAGTCAACGAGCATTGATCTCTTGCTATCTTAAAGAAATTAAATCAATTTGAACGAAACAACCTTTAGGAACTCATTCTCAAAGCTTCAGCTAATCTAAGTAATTGGTACCCGATGAGTCTTTCGTAACAAACTAGATGAAGATGACAATATTTTAAGATTAAAGTCATACTCATTGCGAAGGGATACAATCAACAAGGAGGAACAAATTTTGATGAAACCTATGTTCATGTAGCTTGATTAGAAGCCACAATTATTTTATGGTATTTGGACTGAACTCGGGCGTCGACAAGGATAGATTCATGGTTCGACAGGAGTTGTGAATGTTGTAGTCAAAGTTTGTTCAAGCATGTTGTTGAAATATTTTTTGTTTTAAAGCATGTTGAGTTGAGCATTGCTTGTAAGCCCAATTGTTAAGTTAGCTTATTAGTCTATAAATAGACTAGTTCTCTTAGGTTGTTGAGAGAAGTTAATTTTTGTTATTCACTTGTAATCTTTGAAGCCTTATTGAGTAAGTGAATAGTAAAGCATATTTAACCAATTTCAATTATTCTTCTTCCTTCTTCTATCTCTCTTTCTTAAAATCTAATAGGGTTTCTTGTGTTTTTCCAAGAAACTTAATCTTTCTCATATTTTGGTTTGTTCTTGACGATATTGATTCACAATAAACTGATGCGGTGAGTGTGGAGCAGAAGATGCCGTCAACAAAGTATGAGATTGAGAAATTTACCGATGTAAATGATTTCAGATTGTATTTCATGCTCACTTCAAAGAAACTCCGTTGTTTTGAAGAGATTCATTGACCTCTGAAGAAGTTCAACTAGCTTTGTACTCTAAGGATTTTAAGGAACGAAAGGAGCATGAGCCATCTTCTGTTAGTGAAGGTTTGTCTGCTAAGGGGAAATTCTTGAAGAAAGATGGTATAATTTAGGAGAAGAAGGGTAAAGTACTACAAAATTATAATGGTGTAATACTATTATAATTAGGTGTTATCATTGTAAGAAGAAGGGTCATACAAAAAAGGTGTTCCTTGATTGACCGAATAATCATGGTGGAAAGGATAATGGTAATGCAACCATTGTGTAATATGGTTATGAATAATCTGATGTCCTGGTGGTTTCAAGAAATGACTCTAGCAATGAGTGGATTATGGATTCAGGGTGTAGTTGGCACATGACTCCAAACAAAGACGTGATTGAGGAATTATGTGACAAAATGGTGGATCAGTGATGTTGGAAAACAATAAAGCCTGTAATATTGTAGGTGTTTGATCAATGAGATTCAAGCTCCATGATGAGTCAATAAGGCTATTAACTGATGTTAGGTATGTACTTGATATTAAGAGAAATTTGATTTCTCTTGGTGAATTCGACAAGAAAGGATATGTCTTCAAAGGAGAGCAGAGTATCCTAAGTGTAATGAAGGGATCGAAGGAAGTCTTGAGAGGCGTGAAGAAACTAGACTTGTATACCTTTGAGGCTGGGGTTGGAAGTTTTTTAGCAGAGGGTGACAAGGTCGAAAAACTATAGTTTTGTGAACCTTGTGTATTTGGTAAATCCTGTAGGGTGAAGGTTAACAAAGGTAAACAAAGAACACATGGATCCCTTGATTACATTCACGTTGATCTTTGAAGGCGTGCAAGGAATCCTTCACACTCAGGTTCAAAGTATTTCCTATCCATAGTTAATGGTTATACCAAAAAGTTATGGGTATTCATCCAGAAGACTAAGGATGAAACTTTTGAAATTTTCAAAACTTGGAAGACTCTAGTCGAAAACCAAACTAGCAAGAATGTCAGGAGGTTAAGTTTCAATAATGGTTTTAAATTTTGCAATGAGATCTTGGATAGCTATTATGATGCGTCTAGTATTGCAAGGCACAAAAATACCATGGGTACTCCCCCAATAAATTTTTTTAGATGAAAGGTTTAATTGAACCATTTTGGGAAGGTTAGATGCATGTTGGTTAGCAGAGGATTGAAGAAGGTGTTTTGGGCAGAAGCTGTTATAACTACAGCATACTTGATAAATAGGTGTTCGTCGACTGCCTTGGGAATAAAGACACCTGAAGAAGTTTGGTCGGGACATGCACTTAATCTCGACAGACTTAAGAGTATTTAGATGTTTAGCCTATAATCATATTAGGAAAGACAAAGTTGAACCTAGATCTCTGAGATCTATGTTTCTTAGATACCCCGAAGGAGTCAAATCTTATTGGTTGTGGTTCCTAGATCTATGTCATAAGAGGTGTATGATAAGTTGAGACGTAGCTTTCAATGAAGCAGAAATGTCATTTAAGAAAACTGATGATGTTTGTCGAAGTACCAAGATCTCTGAAGAAGAGGTGGAACATGAAAACATTCTTGTTGAGGTGGAGCATAATGATGTTGAATTGCATAACCTAGATGAAGTCGAAGAGCAAGCACAAGTTGCCGATGAAGATGAGGAGACTGATAATGACTACTCATTGGAAAAAGACGGATTGGGAAGAGTCATCAAACCACCTCAACGACTTGGTAATGAAGATCTCATAGCTTATGCCTTCATATCTACTAGTAAGGTTTTGAACAAAGATTCTAGAAACTATACGAAAGTTATGAGGAGTCGAGACAATATTGAATGATTGAAAGCCATGGATGGTGAGATGAAATATCTTCATGATAATAACACTTGGGAACTGATCAAGAAATCTACAGGGGGCATGTTAGTCACTTGTAAGTGGATTTTCAAGGTTAAGGAAGGAATCAAATGAGTGAGGTCGAAGAGATTTAAGGAAAGGTTTGTTGCTAGGGGTTCAGTCAGAGAGAAGATGTCGACTTTAATGACGTGTTCTCATCTATTGTAAATCATAGATCCATTCAAATGGTGCTTGCTATAATGGCGGAGTTCGACCTAGAACTTGAACAGATGGATGTGAAGACATCCTTCCTGCATGATGATCTAGATGAAATGATCCTGATGAGAAAACCTGAAGGGAGTGCAAAAAATGGAAAGGAAAATTATGTGTGCATACTGAATAAGTCTTTGTATGGCCTGAAAAAATCTCCTCAACAATGGAATATGAGATTCGACAAGTTCATGGCACACATAGGTTTTAGTAAGAGTTAGTTCAACCACTACGTTTACTTCATATTTTGACCTGAAAATTCACTTGTTATTTTGTTGCTTTATGTGCATGAAATCCTCATAGCAAGCAACAATATTAAATATGTTATGAAGGTGAAGCTTGAACTCGATAAAGAGTTTGACATGAAGGATCTGGAAGCTGCCTCTAGGATTCTTGGGATTGACATCCAGAGAGATAAAAAGCAATCGAGGTTATGCTTATCTCAAGAGACATGCTTGAAGAAGACTTTCAACAAGTTTGGTATGTCATATTCAAAGTCTGTTTTAACACCGACTAATCCTCAGTACAAGCTGAGTACAACTTGTAACACCCTTTTCTACCCTAAGGTTATTACGGCAAAATAACACAAATTTCAGAGTGAAATATTTAAATCTCATAAAAATTACCTCAAAAGG